ACAAGATGGACGAGAGAAGGTTAATGGAAGGGTAACCGCTGAAGCGAGTTTGGTAGAGCAGAAGCCATAATAGTAACGATAGAAAAGAGATAACGAAGCAACTACCCGGCGATGGGAAAGCGACTGCAGGTTGGAAGTTAAAGATGATTCGTCGATCAGCCGGATGGCTTTACGCTGAACACAGTCGAGGAGAGAAAGAATGGAGTATGAAACTGCACCCCATACGTGACTGCAGTATTCAAGCATCGGGCGGATTTGAGCTTTGTATAAAAAAAGAAAGTGCTTGGGTGTGAAGAAACGCCTTGTGCGGAATAGAAATTCAACTTTGCGCGCAGCACGAGAGGCAAGTGTAGCGACCAGGAATTTGATGTGAGCGCCAGTAAATCACCCGTAGTTCGATGAGGGCAAAATCCATACTGAGGGTCATTTAACAAACCTTAGCATTCGAGAAACGTACACAGTTGGTCGGAAATAATGGTTTCAAACACTTTCGAGATTACAGATGTAAAAGTAATGGGACGGTAGTTATTAGGGTCGGAAGGGTCGCCGCGCTTTGGGATTGGAAAAATAATAAAATAATAAAAAAATTTTCCATGGAGTAGGGAAAGGTTTATGTTCGAGTGAATAACAGAAAAGGCGGCGTAGTACAGGGGCTAACTTCGGGGCACACATTTTCAGGACGACAGATGGAATACCGTCCGGACCAGGTGGTTTACAAACATCCAGACCGTGAAGAGTTTGGCGGACCTTTCTGGTTGCTATGATAGGTAGAAAGGAATGACTGGATGTGTAGGAGGAGGGTTGAACAGTAGAGACCGCAGATAAGGGGGAGTTGGAGGCACACCCGGAAGCGAAAACCTTTGCTTTTTTGTGGGGATCACAAACAAGTATACCAGAGGAATTGCAAGTGGGAGGAAAGTTGGAAGAGCAGAAATTACGGGAAACCGCTTTAGCGAGGGACCAGAATGTTCGGTTACCGGTGGCGGAGGAAGCCAAGCGCGCAGCTTGGTGACAAATGAAGCGTTCTTTAGCTCTGAACAGTGACCGAGCATTTGTTTCTGGGTTGCACGAAGCGGTTGCGAGATGCTAGATTGGGTGAGTGACGCCAACGACGGTATGCTGAGTTTTTAAAACGTAGAGCATGGTTGCAAGCGTGATTAAACCACTCAGTGGATCGTGATTTGCCAGTTTTGGAGAAGTGTGGAATATAAAGATACACGCCTTGAAGAACAATCTCCGTGAAGTTTGAAACAGACTTGGAAACATCCGAGTTCAAACAACAATCCCTTCAGGGATAACAAGCCAGAAAGTCACGAAAACCGTTCCAGTTGGCTGAATCGGAACGCTGAAAGATGCGTCTGGAGTTTGGTGGTGAAATGAAGTGAGAGAAATGAATGAGACAATGGTCCGATGAGCCTAATGGGAAAAGGAAGGAATTGTTGTTGGAGAAAGAAGCGGGGATGAATGTGAGAATGCGATCAAGGATGAGGGTGCGGTCATCAATACGATGGGGAATGCGTGTAGGGGAGGTCAACTAGTTGACTTAGATTGTTGATCACAGCAAAAGCCTCGGCTTCGCGTCCCATGAAGGTAGTGTCTGAGGAGTGCTTCAGCCAGTCCTTGTTGTGTACATTAGAATCTCCGACAATGGTGATACGACATTAGTGTCTCAATGTTGGAAGGCAGAATATCGAAAATAGAACGATCACTACTGCTCGGGAAGCGGTAAACAGTTCAAAATAGTGGTTGAAAGAAGGGCTTCGAAGTTACAGCCACATAAGGTGAAATTCACGGTTAGAGAAGTTCAAGTGTGTACACGCATGTTCAAGCATTTTGATCTTATTTAAAGAATTTTAAAAATTTAATAAAATGCCAACAAGAAGGCCGCTACTGTCAATTTGCTGCTATATCCTCCTCCTACCAGTCAAGTACCCCAACCTGGAAGGTGAAACATGTACTCTGCAGCTACAGCCTGACCGACTGAAAGTAGGTACATCAAATATTGGATCAAAAATAATAGGTTTCCATAGTAATGGAGTTATCGTACAAAATTTCGTTTTATTCGGGATGTGTTTTGTCAAACCGATTGCATCTTCCCAATCGATTTTCAAACTGAAACCAGACCTTGTCTTGGTCAATTATATTCGCTGTTTTCGTGGCCAAGGCGATTCAATGCAAGTGATGAATATCCGTGGTTGCAATCGATTTATCGGGCAATCGATATTTACTTTGTCTATGGAGTTAGGAAACTCTTATTCCGACTCTCCCATCCATCGAGAGGCGTTCTCAGTGCTTCCACGGATGCACGACTCAACATTCAGCCAAAGCACATTATTCATTGAACAAAATCAGTTTCCGACATACGCAGTACCCGACGAGTACGAGGTGCAGATAGATGACCGGGGCCAAGGAAAACATGAATGGTATTCTCTTATTGTAAACATGGTTCAGTGATTGCAACTCACACGGAACCAACTATCAACATAGCCAAGCATAGCTTACAAGTCATGCGACGATCACAACACACTCGGACTGCAAGGATGAAACTCGATCGATATCAATGGAGAGCGATGATTTCCCTCGACTATAAATGTGGTTTAAAACAGCGGCAGCAGAGTACTGATCGTTTACCTTTGGTGATGAGGCGCCTTCAAGAAGCATTGTGTTGCCAAATGTCAAGCGCATGATACGTGAAATCCGATACGAGTCACCAACAACTGCAGTGGAGGCCTTTATTGAACTGGCTAAAGTGTCTCCTTTTCGGCATAGTCGGCCTGTTTCACCTAATGGTTTGAACGCATGGAGCTGTGTGCATGAGCGCTGGTGGAGAACACTTCGAGAAAATGTAGTGCTTATTTTCGTGTAACAAATAAAAGTTTATGCATCGGAAAACGTTTTGTTCAGCCCTCGTAAAAGACTCGATCGATTTACTGAAAAGAACTTGGGTAATGAGCAAATACCTATAGTATTACATACCAACTCTTAAAATTTCGTTCATACTTATGTTGCATTGTCAGCTATCGTACAAATCTTCCTCTCTTGCATGAGTGGACAAACATAGGGAAAAACAAAAGTTGTATGATCTCATCCTTGAGCTGGCACAGCGTTTACTGTTTAATAGCGTTCATGATTTCCGTACGTGAGTTCGAATCCCACCAAAGATTCTGATCTGTTCACAATTCAGTCACAACTAAGTATGCCTCAAACATATATAAAAATAACTTGGCCTGATATCGGTTCGTTCTGTGTTTGGGGTTTACCACAGCGATTTACACCATCGAAAACATTTGCAACACGGTATGTGTTCAGGAAACGCTTTCTAAGTGTTGATGTGATTCGCTTAAAACTCGATTCTAACTACTAAGCCCCTTCTAAACTAATCGATCTTTGACAAGTCCTCACATTGATGATAATCAAATGGATCTTTCTCGGGAATTTTTTTGTTCCATGGTTGCCTACGATCTTTGAAGCACTAACAACTCTCTCTGTGTGTGTGTGTGTGTGTATATGCGTGTATGTTCTCCTATTTCCTCAGATTGCACTGGCCTGCCATGGATCGGACAATTTCAACATTTGGCTCCAGTCACTGACTTTGCTGGAACACAGTTGTATGACGATCGGGACGGGAGTTCGCCGTTCCCTGTCCGGGTACCAGATCGTTTGAGCTACGGTTAGTCAATTCCCATTGAATTGAATTGGTTGTGCTGTCTCGAGATGGTAGAATAGAGCACAATTCATTCGGTGAATTGCGTCACGTGATCCGATTTACATCGATTTTTGATCGATATGTAATTTGAATCATTTTTTTTGCTTCTCTCTCAACTGGGGCAAACTGTGTGATAGTTTTTATGCTGTATCGTGTCATTAAAAAAAATGGTTCTTGTCTAAAACTGATCAGAGTGAAATTATACTTTCACCCCACCATTGTTTTTCTGTTATTGAATCTCATTTTGAAAGTCATCCCGACTACTTTTCTGGTTTTGTGTTCAGTATGAGCGATTATTTGACAGATATTTTCCACAAGTATTCAATTTTTCGTCACATAGGCGGACTATAGCCAAACTGATGTTTATTCACAAGTCCAGTGTCAGAGTGGAAAATTGTGCATTTTGGAACAAAAAAACACATGAGGTTTGAAAATGTGATTGCTGTTTCGTGCTGGTGGCCAATTGTTTTAAAACTGGATTGTTCCAGTGCTCTGCAGTTCGAACACGGAATTCATTTCAAAGCCGTGTCGATATGTCACGAGGAGTTAACCGGACATGAAGTTGTCTCGATACTGGATATTTCCGATTGACCATCGTCTTCCGATAACAGTTTTAATCGTAATAGCGATTTTACAGATAGTGCAATAACACGCAACTGGAAATGTCATTTATTATGCAAAACGTATGTTTATTTATAGAGCAAAGAGATAGAGTACACGAGGATGCATATACAAGAAAATCGATTGACTATACCTTTCCCATCAAGCTTTAGCCAAAACCCATGATACTTCAGCCACAACCCTTAGTCCTTTCACCTCGACGCAAAATCTATAATCACGCCGCAGTTGGTGAGTCAAAACCAGAAGCATCGGAATATTCTGAGGTCAACGAATATTGAAACGTTTTATTTTCCACAAATGCTAATGTTGAAAAGCTTGACTAAAAAAATGAGATATGGAGGTCGCCTGCTGCACCACATGTTGATTGAAGGTTTAACCGATGTGTCCGTATCGTCAGACCATTTGGCACATCTCGTACAGCTTTAATATTTCCGTATAACATGCGATTCTCCTGTGAGTAAAAATCTCAAATGTAACACAAAACGGTACATTGTTTTGCCGTCACAAGTTGACTCTGTGGAGAGATGTGGATGAGACATTACCAGTCTGAGAATAATAAACACCGTTCAAAAAATGACACCCACAAAACTATCAGCAGTTTATGAACGCTGCAACGTTCGACATGATTACGACGGTCGAGGCTCAAGGATTTTGGTTTTGTCTGGAGGTTGATGGGAACTGGTGTGCTAAAGCGAGTCCTTTGTAAAGGGTGTTTATTGTCGTTGGCCTGTTATTCACATCTCGTGATGGCAAAACAATGTACCGTTTTGTGTTACATTTGAGATTTTTACTTCCATGAGTGTTACACATTATACGGAAACACTGAATCTGTACGAGATGTGCCAAAAGGTTTGACGATACAGGCACATCGTTTTACGGTGTCTTCACATTTAGACAGATCTGTGATCTTACCTTCAAAATTTGCTGAGTCCAAATGTCGTATCAAAAACGTATGAGCAACACGGAGGTAAACTGTCGATTTCGGAATTCGTTATGCATTCCTGGGTACTAGGTGTAATTTCTACTGGATTTTATGCTAAAAGCACCGATGGNAACGCAATTGTCCCCGGTCGACTCTTTTCACTGACACACTCATTTTTCGTCTGTTATTATGCCGTTTTCTTCGGTATGGTCCTCGATTTGTGGATTGTGCCCGCGGGGTCGGGTGGGGAAGTGAGATGTGGGAGTCTCTTATTTCTTGCTTAGTTCAGACATGCACGGTACATTTCTCTTTCGAAACTCGCGCGCATTTGACTGGTAACGAGACTCGTCGAAACACCGTGATTGGTCACAATTTTGCTCTCCCTCACCCCACCCCGTCCGACAGTGCATCATACTGTAGTGGCACTTTGATCTGTATCTCTATGTACTTCGATGCACTGTTTAACATGTTCGTCAGGCTACGGATAATTCATTGGTATCCCACTCGGAAATGTTTTAAATGTCTCTGTAAGGTTAACGCATAGCAATTTGTTGTCCTCTCGCCTCGATGTCGACTGTACTGGAAGGGACTTTTGGGAGCATATTTGAAATAAATAATTAGCTGCTTTTGCTAAGCAACGCATATTTTACAACCTCTTCCTGCTCCTCTTACTGCTTAACCATAATCAATGCTATACTCATCCACAACCAGTATGTGTCAGCTCGTGGTCGTTTTAATTCAGGATTAGCGTATCCGTTTCGGAATCACTACAACTGGACTATTTGTCGCTGATTCTTTCCTCTGGGATCTCTGCTGCATTCGATTACAGTAAGTTCCACACGGATCCCCACCCTTTTCAACTCAGCACTACTAGAAGCAATTCTTCATGGACGCAAAACCCTTCATTGTTCTTTCACCTATTCACCCGGATCTTGTCCCGATTTCGCTGTGTCGACATTGATGAAATCTCTTCCGCTCATCCGAGATAAGTTAGCCGGTGTGGAGTTCTCGGGGGATGTAGTGTGATGGTTAGTAAAATCGTACTTTTGGAGGTGAGGTGCCTGTTGAGCCAATCTTCGACCTTGGTCCTTGTCTGTCTCAATCCGTGCTCATGGCTTGCTGACCGTTTCTGTTTGCAAACTCAGGGCCAGAAAATGAGACCACTGCTTATCCAGTGCCCATGCATCCTTTTCTTTTCAATGATGAAGTACTTCTGTTCCGTTGGAGTGAAGATCCTGCTGGTATACTCAACAACTACGCTACCTCGTTTCAGTACTGCTCCCATTTCAACGTCACCAGTATCCTTCTCGACGGTGACACTTTCTCCAAGGATCACTGTGTCTGATAGTATCCGGTCGTGACCCGCATAATTTAGTCATGGGCTTCCTGAGTTGTTGCCTCTATCGCAAGCGTTGTTCCTGTCTAAGTAATGCGTACAACAGGATTGCAATAGTTGTAAAACTTGCGATGAGTTTGTTGTAGTCTGCGGTACAGTCTAAGAACAGTCTTGGTAATCTTTTTGATGTTGGGTGTGTGAATTCCTTCAACTTCAGGATGTTCTGTGGAAGTGGCCAAACCTCACCGATTCTAACTTAAGTGCCCAATGATTTTCTGATCTTCGAATTTGTCCCATGGATTCGAAGAACAGATTACAGTTACAGCTGTTATCGCCATACATCACGCTCGAAACTCCTTATGGCCACTTCAGCATCAGAAGACCGAGTAAAAATATGGCCTCTGGTAGCCTTAATGGGATTTGCCAACTTTTTCCTCTCGATCAGTCATCCTAATCCATATCCAACAATGCCTCAAACTCACTTCCAAACAACAACAACGAAACACTCGGTTCACTTCGGAAATGTGTCGAAACGAATGGTAACAATCTACGTTGCTGGTGTGGTTCTACCACTGAGAATCAGGATCACGTCTGTTTTTGTCACAGTCTGGCGAAGCTCGCTGATTTGAATTCATCACGTTTGGGCTGGAGGTTCCATGTCCAAACACAAGGATAGCAAGGTTATGGGGTTTTCGCTTTCTGCTATTCATTTCATTGCGGTTCGTACTAGAAAAAGTCACTCCCAATGTCCGTTAATCCTCTGCTGAGGCAAATGCAAATCGTGTTTCTATATATGTGTGCCTGTTCGATGATCATGAAATTGTTTCACGAAGAATCACATTTATGTATCGAAAATCACATGTTTGTCTCATCGACCGTCATGAGCANGCATCCTTTACTGGTCAACCCGATCCCCAGAGGTTGTATCTCCGAGTCGCTGTTTTATCTTGCCTTGTCATCCATCATCCCCAATTCAGTTCCAGAAACTGCGGCCCCCGCTTGTCCTGGTGGAGCGGGTACTGTTCCCCCCGCAGAACCGTTCCGTTATGTGTCCTGGGTCTCACCGACCACGCTAACTGTGGATGTGAACAAACTGTTGCGCTTGGGTCGTCGTTTACCGGATAAAGCTGCACTGTTTTTTAAGGTAACCAATGACAAACATATGTGTCCTGTTTGAATCTTTCTTCCTCTGTCTTTCTCGCATTCGCAAAAGTATGGTTGTGTCGGAATTATCAACTTAGTATCTGTCACTCGTTCATCGCCGGACAGTAAATCAGTCGCATTTGTTACTGTGCATCGAACCAATTTATTGCCATACACACACACACACGCACCTGTGCAAACCAAATAGTTTATGGTGGGCGCTCAAAGATAAACAAACTAATACGTGACATGAGGGNAAGGGTAATACAGGTCACGTGTTAGGCTTCCTGGATGACAGTGTCGGGATCAGTGTGATCAGTTTAATGTGAAGACACTAAGTGTCTTTTCAACAAAGTGAATGGTCAAATTCAAATTGAAATTATTTCCAATACTGCAAACTTTTCTCTACTCGTTCATTCACTCGGGTTACCAAACGACGGTAACCGAAACGAAAGTGCATTGTAATGATTGTTTAAACTGCAAAGGTACGGAATTTTTAATTATAAACCACTAATAAGCGATCGGACGGAATTATCCCGGTTTCAGTAGACACAAAGAAGATATGAAGCTATTCTATCCAGCACAGTGTGATCACAATAGGAAAAACGTGGAAATGGAATTGCTCAAATACTGATCACAACCTCGTTGTTGTTCGCTACTGGCCGTGTGTGAGTCGAGTACGGTCCCCGGACGAAATCGCAAATAGCAGTGTGGAATGTGGTGATCATTTGTGCACACAAGTCAACACTTATACTGTGTACCTGTCGGTTTTCGTGCGAGGCAGCTATTTAGGTGCTGGAACATGTTTACAGGGGGCTAGCATCGCGCAAATGTGTTGTCAACTCGGAACGGCCTGGTTCCATGTTCGGCCTTCTCTTTGCGAAAGATGGAAGCTATATCACAAAGATGTTTGTCACACACACACACACGATTTGGCGATACTCGACACAGACCAACCGTTGTCTCTGTCCGGAAAAACAAGAACCTTAGAGCGGTATCCGCTATTTGGAGTGTGGCTTGAATACCAAATTGTCACAGTTTAGAGCACACTGGACTTCGCACTTCAATTTCGTAAACGTCTTCCATTGTTGTCATTCGAGGGAATTCCTGATAGAAATAGCTTACAGTTTTCCGGTATCTGTGGTGTTATGAGTGACTAACCAGTTAGCTCTTGCAATCTGTTTATCTGTTCCTTGTCCATACGCAGGAGTTCACGCGGTTACGAACTGCCGCATTGGCCTACGGTTGCCCGGACCTGCTGAACGAGGTTGTGGAACTGACCAAAGCCTCGTATCCGGCATTTGCGGATGGGACTGCCTCGGAAACGTTAACCACACATTTGAAAACAATGTCTCGCATGTTGGCTGAACCTGATTTTCGCCCCTCTTGAAAACCACTGTCATGGTGTCTGTATA